TTATAAATAATAATAATAATAATAAGATCAACATTCTCATGGTAAAATATGCCAGAATCACGACAAGACAGCAACACTCAGCCTGGCTTTTACCTGTGTTGGAAACGTTTAGACCCGAAAGTTGAAGGGTGGACTGCCTGTGATTCCAACTGCAAAAAAGATCTTTCGATCGGGCTTCCTGTTTGTAAGTACGAGCCGTTGTTGTTCAACCTCGTGTTGCCCTTTGCCACCTCCGCTGTAGTTAAATTACTTCAATCAAAATTTTGGGGCTTCAGTCTAATAATGTCTCCTAACGACAGCGTTTTATGTCCTCTTGACTCAGCAAAGCTGATTTCTGCACATAGTAAACATGTGTCGATTTGTGAAAGTGGAGTGTTAAAAACATCGGAACTCCTGTTTGATAGCCTCAAGAGCAAGAGATATTGCATCAAAGTGTGGAAAGAACATAAGCTTCATCCCAAAAAGATGAACAGAGAAACAGTGGACTGGATTTTTCTTCTTGATTGTCTAAACTTCTCGTTTTGGGTKGAAAATGATGTTCCRCCGTGGGCTGTGGAGTTCGAAGGCGAAGTTTATCATGGTTACTGGGCTCTATGCGCTGGGATCAACAGAGCGTTGAAGGTAATATTTCAATTGTGAAGTCCTTGTTTCATAAAGGGAAGACCAATGTACAATGTACGGGGCAAATCCAAAAGGGCCCATCACCTCCCCCAACAACCATCCCGCCTGCTCTTATGAAGGCTGTCCAAGAAATCAACCCTATTCAGACTGGGCTTTTTTTGCATCTGGGGCTCATTTGGCCCCMTCCTCTACATCTTCAGAACCAATAGGTCTATGATCACAAAATTTTCACGCAACGATTGCCCATATACAACGAACCAGGACACCCAGTCTTGRCCCATGGGAACAAAATGTGACGCCATAATGACATATCATTAATATCATTTTAACAATTAGTAATGTACTTTAATAAACTTCCTACAACGCCATAGAGAAATGCTTCAATATCATCGGAGATAAGGATTTTATAAAATCYGTATCGTCAAGTGACCATGTAATATTCTGTTTATCATATAGTCAAATATAAATCAAATTATGTCGTYARATAGCTTTTTTCTTACTCCACTATATCAGTGATTCTGACATTATGCACAAGAAAAATCAAAATTATGCAGGATTTTCAGGGATGATTATGCAGGGAAACAAACATGAAAACATAAAATATAACTAATTTCGTTTAGAAACTCAGTTATTTTGTTTCTGTTTAAAAAATATTGCGCATTATTGATAAATGAATYTTTCCAATAAAAGCAATTTAGCTAAAAAAGAAAGCAACATCRCCAGACKGTCCGCCATTGTTGGAACCTGGGCCAAGCCACGGGAAACCCATCACTAAATGAATTTCATAAAAACAAAATGGCGTCACATGTATCATGCCGTTGTTTTGTTAAAAAATGAATGTGATTGGCTAAGAACGGGTAATAATTAGCCTTTTGGGTAATTTCAAGTACTCCATATTTTTTTTGGCCACTCCACAAAGAATATGGCCTCTGTTACATGTATCTTCACTGTCTCCCACCACTCRCTGTCATCATCCTCGGTATCAGCATGAACACTTTTGATGTCTAATATCTTCACATCCTCATCACTATTCTCACCACCACTGTTCACTAGCATGTTTACTTCTTTTCTGCTTCTACACACTCGTGCAAAATGACCTTTTTTATATGACAAACTTTGCATGTTTTATTCTTCGCTGGACATTTTTGTCCCTATTTGTGATTTTCATGGCCACATCTTCTGCAATTTTTACTAGATACTGACTCTTTTGGGTCGTTTTGCTTAGATTCGTTTGGTTTGTTCTTACRATGAAATTTAGTTTTGTCACTGGACTGACTGAGCAATTTTGTTGACAGTTATCTTACTATCCTCACAATTGATCAGTTTGAGATCTTCCTTGGTCRCTTCACACTGTCTGCCTAGTTCAATGGCTCATTCAATGTTAATTCTATTCCTTTTTCTAGGCACCTCTGTCTTACTCACTCGTCACTTGACTTACATGCAATAGCATTTCTCACTAGCTTATCATACTCTTGCAAGCCTAGCACTCTGACTAGTATCTTGAGGTCAGTCACAAAGTCATTGAAAGACTACCCTGGGAACCAGAGGCTGGATTTACTCGTTCTTGTAGTTTATATATGGCGCGAAGTGCCGTCCTTGAGGCCGAAGGCCRAACCGTAAACCAGCCTCTGGCGGCACGGATAGCGAATCTCATTTCCATGTCAGTGTTTACATTCAAGATCTGAATGTTGCAGCTGATTGGTCCGTTGATATCAGAGCGATATTATTGGTTGAAAATCAAAACCGGTTTTCAATCAGATACTCGACAAAAGATAAGTTGTCAGAATCAAATGTAAAATGTTACGGGTCACTGATCTCCGTTGTGTATCAGAATTCTTACAGAATGTAAACTAAGCAAAATCCCCAGAAGATGTCGTTRAAGCAATACTTAACGAATCTGCAAAGTGTGTAGCTGCAGCCTCTCGAATTTGTAGACAGGRGACTTGCAATTCATCTGGAGMAAAGATCGTTTTTAGAGAAAATATWTGCTTTTGAATTTATAGCGAGCAGCTACATGTCTCACCTTCACTYGGAAGTTAAAAAAACTCGAAAGTCTAAAACWTTTAGGACAAAGAATTATCTAATGTGAAAGAACTTTATCGTAAATCTTCGTCGAGTATCTGATTGAAAACCGGTTTTGATTTTCAACCAATAATATCGCTCTGATATCAACGGACCAATCAGCTGCAACATTCAGATCTTGAATGTAAACACTGACATGGAAGTGAGATTCGCTATCCGTGCCGCCAGAGGCTGGTTTACGGTTCGGCCTTCGGCCTCAAGGATATAAACTATAAGAACGAGTAAATCCAGCCTCTGGTTYCCAGGGTATTGAAAGACTCACCCAGTTGCTGTTTAGGTCGATCGAAGAGGACTGCCACCATTATGGGGTTTCTCTTTGACTGTGCTGTTCTTTGAATTTTCCAGCTACTCTTTCTAAGACTTCTTTTTCATTTACATTGTTTTCCCCGACTTTTACTACTTKCCACTCGAATGTGGAGTACATTTCTAAACCCTTGTCGCCTACAAAATTCATCAGGTTGCAGATTTTTTCCTTCTCGAGAGCCACACAATTAATTATACATATATTCACAGGTAGCCCAACCATATTTTATTCGTTTGTTAGGGATCGCTATACTCTTGTTAGTTAATACCATATATGGAATACGTACGACAACCCTTACTCCAGGAGGTTGTGGTAGGGGTCGGAAATATCGTCATTAARACAGGGATCCCATCTGACCAGTTTTTGGCTCCGAATGATATATGAACAGATTTTGACTCCAAATRACTTCTTGAAGTCATAGAATGAATCTATTATTGACCACCAATAKAGACGAATGGAGTTAGACYATTCGAATCTATTGGTCTATATTGGCCACGAATGTTAATTAGTACAATTAGAATTAGTCTATCCATATTTTTACTTTGTGTCACAGTACAAGTATAAATTAGGTATGATAGCCTTTACTGCAAGCTCCGTGCGTGATGTTAATTGTATCTGCGCTTTTAAAGATTTGTGAAGAACTGTTGTATGTCTAGAGAGCTTATCTTGCTTTTTTTTTCGTTGAATACAGATTCCCATTTTGTTTTTYGCTAAATACAGATTCCCATTTAGTTTTGTTAAATACAGATTCCCGTTTCGTTTYGTTGAATACAGATTCCCATTTCGTTTCGTTGAATACAGATTCCTATTTTGTTTYGTTCCGTTGATTATAGCAAGCCCTAAGATTCGAACCAGCACTATGTATTGTCTAACCCGATATTTTCCCTAAACCTAACAATTAAACCACGAGACCAATTCACTTGAGTGAACCAATTATGCAACGGCATGCATGAATAACCACGCATATGTACATAAGATTGAATATATAATTAATGAAGCATCTATAAGAACATGAGAGCCTTCTATAGGTACATCAGAGCCATGCATATGGACATCTATAATGTTGAAGTCGTACGACCATCTCTACTCAAATAAATATGACCTCGTAATTACTATAGCAACAAGGGCAGGTGAGTGAGTGAGTGACTTAGTTAGTGACAGATCGTTCACCCACAATAACGCAATCTCCGATTTAAATGACCAAAAATAACCCCTCGCAGAAAGTTTTTGCTGTCAAAAAAATATTATGGTATTGTAGAGTCAGCAATGGGAGCCAGCTAAAAAATGGATAATAAAACAATAAATTGAAAAAATTAAGCATTTTG